CCACAACGTTAACCTGTTCCCTCTGTTGTTAACGGAGCCACTAAGCCACAACGTTAACCTCTTCCCTGTGGTGTTAACGGAGCCACTAAGCCACAACGTTAACCTCTTCCCTCTGGTGTTAACGGAGCCACTAAGCCACAACGTTAACCTCTTCCCTCTGGTGTTAACGGAGCCACTAAGCCACAACGTTAACCTGTTCCCTCTGGTGTTAACGGAGCCACTAAGCCACAATGCATTAGTTTACCAAACGTCATCTTGTGTGAAACAAATGCTCAGAAGGTCAATGCACATTCGTTTAATCTTTTTCTCCTCTAGGAGGTCTGGCGTGAGGACTCACAGTGAAGCGGTCTAGGAGGTCTGGCGTGAGGACTCACAGTGAAGCGGTCTAGGAGGTCTGGCGTGAGGACTCACAGTGAAGCGGACAGAACACTGGACTCGTGATCCTATGGTCCTGGGTTCGATCCCGGGCGCCGGCGAGAAACAATAGGCATCAGAGTTTCCTGATGCCCCTGTTACCTAGCAGTAAAATAGGTACCTGGGTGTTAGTCAGCTGTCGCGGGGTGCTTTCTGGGGGGTGGAGGCCTGGTCGAGGACAGGGCCGCGGGGACACTAAAGCCCCGAAATCATCTCAAGATAACCTCAAGATAGCCACTCTATGCCCCTGTTACCTAGCAGTAAAATAGGTACCTGGGAGTTAGTCAGATGTCACGGGCTGCTTTCTTGGGGCGGAGGCCTGGTCGAGGACCGGGCCGCGGGGACACTAAAGCCCCGAAATCATCTCAAGATAACCTCAAGATAGCCACTCTATGCCCCTGTTACCTAGCAGTAAAATAGGTACCTGGGTGTTAGTCAGCTGTCACGGGCTGCTTCCTGGGGGTGGAGGCCTGGTCGAGGACCGGGCCGCGGGGACGCTAAAGCCATGGCCACCGGAAGACTGCTCTTAAGAGCAGTCACCCCTGCTCTCTTACAACACCCTTGCTCCTCACCCTCTCACTTGCTCCTCAACACACCCTAGATGATACAGTCTCTCTACCCTTGGCAGGTGTTGCCTGTGGCCCGAACACACCTTTGGTGAAGAGCAAAGGTGCACGCGACGAGTCACAATAACGTGGCTAAAGTTTGTCGACACAAACCACGCACACTCGACTTGAGAATGGTCCAGGACGGACCGAAACGTCGTCGTCCCTTCACCTTCTAGTGTGTGGTCTGACATCGACTTGAGAATGGTCCAGGACGGACCGAAACGTCGTCGTCCCTTCACCTTCTAGTGTGTGGTCTGACATCGACTTGAGAATGGTCCAGGACGGAACGAAACGTCGTCGTCCCTTCACCTTCTAGTGTGTGGTCTGACATCGACTTGAGAATGGTCCAGGACGGACCGAAACGTCGTCGTCCCTTCACCTTCTAGTGTGTGGTCTGACATCGACTTGAGAACGGTCCAGGACGGACCGAAACGTCGTCGTCCCTTCACCTTCTAGTGTGTGGTCTGACATCGACTTGAGAACGGTCCAGGACGGACCGAAACGTCGTCGTCCCTTCACCTTCTAGTGTGTGGTCTGACATCGACTTGAGAATGGTCCAGGACGGAACGAAACGTCGTCGTCCCTTCACCTTCTAGTGTGTGGTCTGACATCGACTTGAGAATGGTCCAGAACGGACCGAAACGTCGTCGTCCCTTCACCTTCTAGTGTGTGTAGGCCAAGAGCAAAGGTGTTACGACACAGCCCGCTACACAGGCTCATCACCGACAGCAGCTGTACATACACTTGAGATCTTCATGTACACATCCTGGGTCAGGGGTCCAGTGCTTCCTGTTACCGCTGGCTGCTCGCTGCTCGACGCCTCGCCCGCTGCTAATCTGCCAGCGACCTTAGCTGCGTTGAAGCTGTCACACACAATCCTGATTGGGTCGTTATCAACATCCGTTGCGGTCAGTCGTCGTCTGGGGTCGTAAATTATCGTCTGTCGTTGTAAATCGTCGTCGTCTGGTGTCGTAAATTATCGTCTGTCGTTGTAAATCGTCGTCGTCTGGGGTCGTAAATGATCGTCTGTCGTTGTAAATCGTCGTCGTCTGGGGTCGTAAATGATCGTCTGTCGTTGTAAATCGTCGTCGTCTGGTGTCGTAAATTATCGTCTGTCGTTGTAAATCGTCGTCGTCTGGTGTCGTAAATTATCGTCTGTCGTTGTAAATCGTCGTCCGAGGTACCCAGTTGTCGTCTGGTGTCGTAAAAACTGCTTCGTGAATCTGGCCCCAGGTTCGTAAGTGCTTGTGTAAATGCTTCGTGAATCTGGCTCCAGGTTCGTAAGTGCTTGTGTAAGTGTTTCGTGAATCTGGCCCCAACTTCGAAGAGTAACGACATACAAGGACCATATACAACCAAGAGAAAGCTCAAATAAAGCAAGGAAGAGGGAAAAGATGCTAAAAACTAAAAAATATATATAAATTCTTCTCGCACTTTTTTATAGTCAATATTGGCTTATTTAATAAGTGCATATGTGACATACTAATTGTGAGTATTTTAGTTTACCTTGAAAAGCTTCATAGAAAACACCGACCTCACCTAACCTTCTTAGCATGTTAAGATAAGCATCTTATTGCTTCGTAATTACAATTTTGCATTTTGGAAATGACAATGCATCCAGCAGGTCCAATTCGAAACAGCTTTGGCTAATATTGACTATATTACAAAAAATGACTAATGACAGTGCACTCAATAACATTTATTTCAACAAACTCACTGGGATAGCAGGTGTGTAAGGATAGGGAAGGGTAGAACAAGCATAATAAATTATATAAAAGCCTGAATTCCACAATTCCACACCTGTAGGTGGAAAAACAGGTTTGGAAGCCAAGGCGCGCCCGTCCTGCTGGTGTAATGTTATATGTGTGTTGGGGGGGGGGTTAGGTATACCAGTGGTGGGATAGTATGGGTATACCAGTGGGTAGGAGGGGGCTGGCTTAGGTATACCAGTGGCAGGGAGGGGGCTGGCTTAGGTATACCAGTGGCTGGGAGGGGCAGGCTTAGGTATACCATGGCTGGGAGGGGCAGGCTTAGGTATACCAGTGGCTGGGAGGGGCAGGCTTAGGTATACCAGTGGTGGGAGGGGCAGGCTTAGGTATACCAGTGGCTGGGAGGGGCTGGCTTAGGTATACCAGTGGCTGGAAGGGGCTGGCTTAGGTATACCAGTGGTGGGAGGGGCAGGCTTAGGTATACCAGTGGTGGGATACTATGGATATACCAGCAGAACAAGCGGTATACCCACCCCAGTACTCCTGAAGTAGCTTTGACAGTTACCGTTACAACCGAAACCGTTTCCAGATGGAAAGGAATTTGAATTTGAATTTCAAATTTGAATTTGCTGACCAGTAGAGCAGGTTTAGAGAGTTCTGCAGCTGTGTGCTCTCATGGCTAGTACAGACCTATCATTTTGTAGCAATGAACATGAGGGAGTATTTGTGTAAGCTTTATTTACAAAGGAAAATGTGTAATAAGCGTTGTGAAAGGATGGTGGAGGGCTTACAGACTGTCGCTCTCCAAGCTGTATGTGTTGTTCGGTTAAGAAATTGGTCTGACAGATTTGATGGGGTTCAGCGCCTGGCGCCAAGCTGATTTGGGACGGAAAATTCATAGGATTTGTGTGTGTGTGTGTGTGTGTGTGTGTGTGTGTGTGTGTGTGTGTGTGTACTCACCTAGTTGTACTCACCTAGTTGTGTTTGCGGGGGTTGAGCTCTGGCTCTTTGGTCCCGCCTCTCAACCGTCAATCAACAGGTGTACAGGTTCCTGAGCCTATTGGGCTCTATCATATCTACACTTGAAACTGTGTATGGAGTCAGCCTCCATCACATTACTGCCTAATGCATTCCATTTACTAACTACTCTGACACTGAAAAAGTTCTTTCTAATGTCTCTGTGGCTCATTTGGGCACTCAGTTTCCACCTGTGTCCCCTTGTACGTGTTCCCCTTGCGTTAAATAGACTGTCTTTATCTACCCTATCAATCCCCTTCAGAATCTTGAATGTGGTGATCATGTCCCCCCTAACTCTTCTGTCTTCCAGCGAAGTGAGGTTTAATTCCCGTAGTCTCTCCTCGTAGCTCATACCTCTCAGCTCGGGTACTAGTCTGGTGGCAAACCTTTGAACCTTTTCCAGTTTAGTCTTATCCTTGACTAGATATGGACTCCATGCTGGGGCTGCATACTCCAGGATTGGCCTGACATATGTGGTATACAAAGTTCTGAATGATTCTTTACACAAGTTTCTGAAGTGTGTGTGTGTGTGTGTGTGTGTGTGTGTGTGTGTACTGTGCCAAAGAGCCAGAGCTCAACCCCCGCAAGCACAACTAGGTGAGTACACACCCACACACACCCCCCCCCCACACCCACCATAATATACTGACAGCAAATCTATTACCAATACAGATGGTCGCCCGAGGTGGAACACCCAGAACATTACCTCTATAAAGGTCACATTATCATATTAGCGAGAGCCGCGGGGGAGAGAGAGAGAGAGAGAGAGAGAGGGAGACAGAGAGAGACAGAGACAGAGAGAGACAGAGAGAGACAGAGAGAGACAGAGAGAGACAGAGAGAGACAGAGAGAGACAGAGGGAGACAGAGAGAGAGAGAGAGAGAGAGAGAGAGAGAGAGAGAGAGAGAGAGAGAGAGAGAGAGAGAGAGAGAGAGAGAGAGAGAGAGAGAGAGAGAGAGAGAGAGAGAGAGAGACAGAGAGAGACAGAGAGAGACAGAGAGACAGAGAGACAGAGATAGAGAGAGAGATAGAGAGAGAGAGAGAGACAGAGAGAGAGAGAGAGAGAGAGAGAGAGAGAGAGAGAGAGAGAGAGAGAGAGAGAGAGAGAGAGAGAGAGAGAGAGAGAGAGAGAGAGAGAGAGAGAGAGAGAGAGAGAGAGAGAGACAGAGAGACAGAGAGACAGAGAGAGACAGAGAGAGACAGAGAGAGACAGAGAGAGACAGAGAGAGACAGAGAGAGACAGAGAGAATACCTTGTAACTATGACAGCTCATTCCTGGTTGCTGAGAACGTCCTGGGTCTTGAAGGTCTTCACATTAACCTGTAAATAACAGAAAAGTTCTTTTAAAACAAGGTGTGGCAGGTGTGGTGTGGGTGTGGCAGGTGTGGTGTGGGTGTGGCAGGTGTGGTGTGGGTGTGGCAGGTGTGGTGTGGGTGTGGCAGGTGTGGTGTGGGTGTGGCAGGTGTGGTGTGGGTGTGGCAGGTGTGGTGTGGGTGTGGTAGGTGTGGTGTGGGTGTGGCAGGTGTGGTGTGGGTGTGGCAGGTGTGGGTGTGGTGTGGATTGTGGGGTAATACCTTTCTAGAAATTTTCTCCATTTACCTGTTCCTCACCTCTTTCATGCCTTATTTAATCCTTCCCCTCGATACCCATCTCTTACGGGTTACTCATGCCCGTGCAACCTTTTGGGTGGCTTAATCTATATCAATCAATCAATGTCTCATCCCAATCGACTTGAGAATGGTCCAGGACGGACCGAAACGTTGTCGTCTTCCCTTCACCTTCTAGTGTGTGGTCTGGTCAGCTGTAGGCTTCACAAAGGTCTGTCCAACTGTGCTGTTGTGGTTAGCAATAGAATAAGCAACCACGCAGGATGAACCAAGATAAGGGGCCAGATTCATGAAGCAGCTACGTAAGCACTTACGAACCTGGGGCCAGATTCACGAAGCAGTTAGGCAAGCACTTACGAACCTGTCCATCTTTTCTCTATCTTTGGCGGCTTTGTTTACAATTATTAAACAGTTAATGAGCTCCGAAGCTCCAGGAGGCTGTTTATAACAATAACAACAGTTGATTGGCAAGTTTTCATGCTTGTAAACTGTTTAATAAATGTAACCAAAGCCGTCAAAGATTGAGGAAAGATGTACACGTTCGTAAGTGCTTGCGTAACTGCTTCGTGAATCTGGCCCCAGGTTCGTAAGTGCTTGCGTAACTGCTTCGTGAAACTGGCCCCAGGTTCGTAAGTGCTTGCTTAACTGCTTCGTGAATCTGGCCCCAGGTTCGTAAGTGCTTGCTTAACTGCTTCCTGAATCTGGCTCAAGGCATTTTGTTTGGGAAAATGAAAGTTTTTCAAAGAGCCTTTTTCGCCTTGAAAAAAATATCCACATTTGATGCATTTTCAGGATGAACAGACGCAAGATGTTCCATTAACTTTCACAGCAACACAACAACAGTTCTGGGAATTGTGTTCTATCCATAGACCGCGTCACCTTCTGTGTTCTATCACGTTCATGGTACAAGTAAAACCATAGACTACTTCACCTTCTGTACGATTTCCTCTTTCTTGACATGTTCTTCCGTTAACTTGACCCACACAAGAAGGATAAAAGAGATCCACATTTTCTATTAGGACACAATTACATCTTACAGCACCGCTCCTGTGCCAGGTAAGTCCACTAGGGGATCACCATAGCCCGTGCTACTTGCCCCGCTCCTGTGCCAGGTAAGTCCACTAGGGGATCACCATAGCCCGTGCTACTTGCCCCGCTCCTGTGCCAGGTAAGTCCACTAGGGGATCACCATAGCCCGTGCTACTTGCCCCGCTCCTGTGCCAGGTAAGTCCACTAGGGGATCACCATAGCCCGTGCTACTTGCCCCGCTCCTGTGCCAGGTAAGTCCACTACGGGCTCACCATAGCCCGTGCTACTTGCCCCGCTCCTGTGCCAGGTAAGTCCACTACGGGCTCATCATAGCCCGTGCTACTTGCTCCGCTCCTGTGCCAGGTAAGTCCACTACGGGCTCACCATAGCCCGTGCTACTTGCCCCGCTCCTGTGCCAGGTAAGTCCACTACGGGCTCATCATAGCCCGTGCTACTTGCCCCGCTCCTGTACCAGGTAAGTCCACTACGGGCTCATCATAGCCCGTGCTACTTGCTCCGCTCCTGTGCCAGGTAAGTCCACTACGGGCTCATCATAGCCCGTGCTACTTGCCCCGCTCCTGTACCAGGTAAGTCCACTACGGGCTCACCATAGTCCGTGCTACTTGCCCCGCTCCTGTGCCAGGTAAGTCCACTACGGGCTCACCATAGCCCGTGCTACTTGCCCCGCTCCTGTACCAGGTAAGTCCACTACGGGCTCACCATAGCCCGTGCTACTTGCCCCGCTCCTGTGCCGGGTAAATTACGGGCTCACCATAGCCCGTGCTACTTGGCACTTGTTCTGAGTAGCTGAATCTATAACAACAACAACATTCTATTAGGAAAAATGTTCAGACAAAAATATTTCGAGCGGGAAAAGGCCAAACAGACCCAATTACTGAAGATGTAATCTGTTTCGGACCAATTTTATTTTATCTCGAGAGCTGCGCAGAAAATAGACATGATTTGGATCTTGATTATTTGTTGACCAGGGGTACAGATTCACGAAGCAGTTACGCAAGCACTGACGAACCTGGGGCCAAATTCACGAAGCAGTTACGCAAGCACTTACGAACCTGGGGGCCAGATTCACGAAGCAGTTACGCAAGCACTTACGAACCTAGGGGCCAGATTCACGAAGCAGTTACGCAAGCACTGACGAACCTAGGGGCCAGATTCACGAAGCAGCTACGCAAGCACTTACGAACCTAGGGTCAGATTAACGAAGCAGTTACGCAAGCACTGACGAACCTGGGTACAGATTCACGAAGCAGTTACGCAAGTACTTACGAACCTGGGGCCAAATTCACGAAGCAGTTACGCAAGCACTGACGAACCTAGGGGCCAGATTCACGAAGCAGTTACGCAAGTACTTACGAACCTGGGGCCAAATTCACGAAGCAGTTACGCAAGCACTTACGAACCTGGGGGCCAGATTCACGAAGCAGTTACGCAAGCACTTACGAACCTGGGGCTAGATTCACGAAGCAGTTACGCAAGCACTTACGAACCTAGGGGCCAGATTCACGAAGCAGTTACGCAAGCACTTACGAACCTGGGGCACGATTCACGAAGCAGTTACGCAAGCACTTACGAACCTGGGCCAGATTCACGAAGCAGTTACGCAAGCACTTACGAACCTGGGGCCAGATTCACAAAGCAGTTACGCAAGCACTTACGAACCTGGGGCCAGATTCACAAAGCAGGTACGCAAGCACTTACGAACCTGGGGCCAGATTCACGAAGCAGTTACGCAAGCACTTACGAACGTGTACATCTTTCCTCAATCTTTGACGGCTTTGGTTACATTTATTAAACAGTTTACAAGCATGAAAACTTGTCAATCAACTGTTATTGTTATAAACAGCCTCCTGGTGCTTCGGAGCTCATTAACTGTTTAATAACTGTAAACAAAGCCGCCAAAGATTGAGAAAAGATGGACAGGTTCGTAAGTGCTTGCGTAACTGCTTCGTGAATTTGGCCCGAGATCATTAACTGTGTGTCGGTAGAGGAAGGAAGGAACTATCAGGGGGGGAGAAAGCGCCAAGCCATTACGACTATATAGCACTGGGAAGGGGTCAGGATAAGGATTTGGGATGGGACGGGGGAAAGGAATGGTGCCCCAACCACTTGTGGACAGTCTCGGGGGATTGAACGCCGACCTGCATGACGCGAGGCCGTCACTCTACCGTCACAGTATGTAGAAGAGGAACTTTCAGAATGAGCAAGGTTAATTAACGGAATTAACCAGGTTGTGCGTGCGTATGCGCGCGCGTAGGACGAAGAGGGGGGGGGGGGTGATATGAGGTATGGTGATAAGTTTCACTGTAGTGTTACGTCTGGGTGGTCAGAGGTCACTGTATCTTATCTCTCACCCCTCATCCCTGCGATTGTATTTGTGTAGTGTAGCAGTTAGCGTGAAACCCATGTGAAGAACCTCTCACACACTCACAGCTCCCTGACAAGAGGGAGCCAGCTTAGCTTAGCTGCCAACACCCACACATCGGGTCAGCAAGGCGGACAGCCCGCCTGCTTTCATACCTCTCACTGTATTTCCCACTTCTATACTTCCCTTCACCTATGCCTCTCCTTCCTCTTTACTAAAAAAAAAAGATAAAGTTAGTGTGAAAAGTGCTCAGAGTACACGCACTCACTTAGCAAAAGGAAGACGAGAGATAACAAAGATCATATAGAAAGATAACAAACATCATATAGCAAGTAATGACAAGTGAGGAGCCACTGGACACCGAGGGTCATCATAGGCTAGGCAGATATTAAATGGGAGAGACGCGTCAAATTAAAATAGTATTCAGAACACAGCGGTAACACCGTAGAGTATTCACTTGAAAAATGGCCACTATGGCATGTTGATAATAAGCCATTGTGTCGGGAGGGGGGGGGAGGGACAGGCAGCCAGGGATATATATATACGTTAGGCTTATATCGAAATCCTTCCCAAGGTCCAACTATTGACCATCCCCAGGGTCAATAGTTGGTCCCAGGTGTAGACAGGGAGCGTCGACAGGTCCCAGGTGTAGACAGGGAGCGTCGACAAGTCCCAGGTGTAGACAGAGCGCGTGTCGACAGGTCCCAGGTGTAGATAGAGAGCGTCGAAAGGTCCCAGGTATAGACAGAGCGCGTCGACAGGTCCCAGGTATAGACAGAGAGCGTCGGCAAGTCCCAGGTGTAGACAGGGAGCGTCGACAGGTCCCAGGTGTAGACAGAGAGCGTCGACAAGTCCCAGGTGTAGACAGGGAGCGTCGACAAGTCCCAGGTGTAGACAGGAAGCGTCGACAAGTCCCAGGTGTAGACAGAGAGCGTCGACAAGTCCCAGGTGTAGACAGAGAGAGTCGGCAAGTCCCAGGTGTAGACAGGGAGCGTCGACAGGTCCCAGGTGTAGACAGAGAGCATCGACAAGTCCCAGGTGTAGACAGGGAGCGTCGACAAGTCCCAGGTGTAGACAGGGAGCGTCGACAAGTCCCAGGTGTAGACAGGAAGCGTCGACAAGTCCCAGGTGTAGACAGGAAGCGTCGACAAGTCCCAGGTGTAGACAGAGAGCGTCGACAAGTCCCAGGTGTAGACAGGAAGCGTCGACAAGTCCAAAGTGTAGACAGAGAGCGTCGACAAGTCCCAGGTGTAGACAGGGAGCGTCGACAAGTCCCAGGTGTAGACAGAGAGCGTCGACAA